CCCACACCCACACCCACCCCACACCCACACCCACACCCACACCCACATCCACTCACACCCACATCCACTCACACCCACCCCACACCACCCACCTCACACCCACACCCTGAAGGCATGAAATTTATTTGTAGTATTCTAAATTACAATGATTGATATATAGAAATATAGAATTAGACAATGAATTCAGTGGCATAACTTATATCAGTACTTCAACAGCCTAAGAATCACTGTATGACAATATACTAGAAAAGAAGAAAGTGCTACTCGACTAATGGACTAAAGACCAAAAGACTCAATACCCAGTCGGACTGGGTGTCCAGTCCGACTGAGACCCAATTCATCAGTCGGGACTGGTGCATCCCTGGTCGTGAGGATGGAATGTGGGTGTGGTTGTAGATGAGATTAGATCGTTTCACATTCGCCCACACACGTTCGCCGTATCCATACGTACACCCACACCCACCCACAACCTTCTTATCTTTGACTCTTATATATTTGTATTCATTGAAATTTCATTCAAAACTATGCAGTTCATTCTTATTCTAAATTTGCCTGATGAGTCCACTAAGCAGGGTCATCGTAAAAAGCTTGAAATAATCTTACAGAGACACCCTCATAGCCTCTTTGAAAACAACTTTTGTTCATGAAAGCGAAGTATTACTGAACTGATTAGATATTTATTAGAATTCAGTGGTGAAGATAAATATTCTTGTTCAGCATTTTTGTCGCTCTCTCGGATTTAGCAACAAAATGGTGGATCGCAAGTTTTGGATTCGGAACAGCAGCACTTATAACAGCAGTTATCATCAGGGATTTTAGAATTTTTCTTATCATCAGAGATTTTAGAACCACTGCAAAAACGAGAGTTTCCACAAACGCTGCACATCCCCATAAACCAACCGATAGCACTCATACTAATTATTAGTATGAATATACACAAAGTCAGAACTGAGCGTGGGTTGGCACTGGTGAAAGTAAATGCTGTTACTGTAAGTATTATGAAACCCACTGGAATGAGCACCATGGAGGATGCAAAGATTATGGAACACCGTGTTCCAGTTAGACAATTGTGTATGCTTTTAGAACGCCCTTTTTCAGCGTTTTCAAATGAATGTTTCCGCCATGTGCACAAAGTACATATATAGTAGACGATTGGTGTGATCATTGAAACAGCACCTAGTACTCCCGTATTAATGCCAATAGCATTGATAACACTTTCGGCATCTTGTTCTGGCCAAACCCATGCGAAACATCCAAGCATTTGACCGGAATAATTTGTGAAGTTAGCATTTTGATTTTTCTTACATATGAAATGCGCTTTGTCATCTTTATAATAGCAATCAGCGTCCATAGTGCATTCATCTCCGTCTGAAACCGATCTAAACGACAGTACACATTTTTGAAATATGATTATCATGAAAATTTCCAATATTGCTGAAGTAAGAAATGTAAAAAGAAATGCCCATCCACATGTCATCCGCTCAGGGAAGTAATCGATGGAATGTCCGTTGCTGTTATTTGGCGTCTCAGAGTTGTTGCTAGTTTGCGTCTTAGAGTCTTTTCGGTGATCATCGTTGTCATCATCGTCCCCAACATAAAAAAGCTTTGCAACAGCTCCATTTGGCTTCCGAATCTTCTCATACTTATTAATCCACTTAATACCAAGAACAGTTTCGATAATAAGCCAACGAGCGCGAAATCCAATGAGAAACAGAAAGGCGCATATAATGAAGTATATACCGGTAGGTATTAAGTAACTACACAACATATATTGTACATATAGACTAACCATATTTCAACGGTTTTACTCTGTGAAGAAATGCTTTCCCAATAGTTAGGTTTATCAACAATCCAAATCGATCGAATCAACTAGTAAGAGAAACCATAGTTATTTAGAGGTCATCGTAGAATTGAGTAGCCTTCTCTGAAAGAAAAATAAAACGAGTCTGGCAGAACTATTTTTGGTTCTGCGGCACTTGCGAAACCATTTTAAGTTCTGCATGGAAGTTAAAAAACTATCAAGAGTTATATTCAATGATGCTGAACTATGAAAGGTTCCATATACTAGCTCAGAACCTCAAAGAGTTCTGCTACATACTGCTAGTAGGTGTGCATTAATGCCAGTAACCGGGTTCCAGTTCGCCTGGGACTCTGTCACGACTGGGTACTTAGTCATTCGGCGTTTATTCTGCTAATCGATCAGTACTTCCCTCTTTTCTAAGGGTGTAGGTGTGGGTGTTGGTTTGATGTTGGTATGGGTGTCGTTATTGTCATTCTAACCATTCTCACATCCAAACAATACCCACACCCACATCCACCCTAGCCACGCCCACACTCTGAAGACATGAAATTTATTTATAGTATTCTAAATTATAACGATTGTTATATAGAAATACACGATTAGGCAATGGACTAGGTGTCATAACTTATATCAGTACTTCAACAGCCTAAGAATCACTGTATGACAATATACTAGAAAAGAAGAAAGTACTACTCGACTAATGGACTAAAGATCAAAGGTCTCAGTACCCAGTTCACTAGTCAGGACTGAAACTGATGCATCCCTAACTACCAGAATAAACAAGGTTTTTTATTGGGTTATATTAAACTCAACACGCTCTGCTCTATAAATGCAGGACATTAAAGATTGTGCCTATCGATGATGAAACATAAAAAGTCACCGATTCGATTATACGGAACGAAAAAGGTTGTATCTGGGGTGTGGGTATGGGGGTGTGGGTGCGGATGCGGATGCGGGTGTGGGGTATCGGTGAGGAGACTGGTCATACTCACACCCACACACTCACACTCATTCCCACACCCATTCTTCACACGCGTCCCACTCCCTACACACCTTACGCCCAACCCACACCTGCCCACCAAACATAAAATAGGTCTTTCAAAACATATTGAGTGAAAGCCTTAAAAATATTCACTGATATTGCAACTCAGATGAGAATACAGTACACATCGAAAATGCAATCAAACACGTCCTGGCTGCAACTGTAACTCCGAAAAGAAAAGCTAACAAATCTGGAATATCTGAGCAGACTTGGAATCTCGCTGACGAAAAAAAGGAAATAAAAACAAATAAAACATGTCTGCGGACAATACTAAAAACTAGAAAAGTCTTGTGTAATCGTGTCATGAAGTCAGCAAGAGAGGGCAAAGAAAAATGAATAGAAAATCAATGCGAGGAAACCGGAAAAGGGATGAAAATCGGCAACGCCAGACAGGCTTACAGCACAATAATTATGCTAAAAAAGAAGTATGTACCAAAACTAACAATGATAAAGGACCAAAATGACAGCACGCTGCAGTCAAAAGAACTCGTGATACAGAAATGGACACAGTACTATCGTGACCTATCTATAGATCGAGGACGCGTAAATGAAGTGATGAAAGAACTTGAGTCAATAATTCCTCCCGTTAATGAAGATGCCGAAGATATTTTATACTTCGAAGCCGAAGAAGCTATACGATCTCTTAAAAGGCACAAAACTTCCAGCGCAGACGGAATAACAGCTAAGATGTTTC